AATTTGAGGGTACAGGCACAGGGACAGTATCTTCTTATACACCTGGAGTATGTTTACCACATTAAGGATTCTGCTGCTATTCAAAGACAAAAAAGAAAACCCTATGAGGCCTAGTAGACTAGATACATGAGCACCACTATTTATGATCACTTTTCAAAGGACTGCTCATGGTATTCACAGAGAGAAACTCATCAGACACCTCATGATGGAAAACACAATTTTGATCAGTGGTGTAATGACATTCAGTCTTCTTCACAGCAGCTCTGAATTCAAGGTTAGCACTCAACATTGAGGACCCAGGGTGTTAGGGAAAAGACGGGTCAGACCTTGCAGGTACAGAAACAGCTGAAAATCAGCATGGCCTTTGAGAAAGGGGAAAACTGAGAATCTGTGAGCAGTTACAGGTTAAAAATGTAAGTTTCATGGTCTTTACCCTACCTGTTGTTTTCTGGCTCCTCGTAAATAGATAAGTAGATCCCCTCCTTCCATCAGCTCCAGTATAAGGTACTGAGGTTCATTTAACAGGCACACACCAAGCAATTTCAGAATGTGGGGGTGATCAAATTTACTAAAGAGAAGGAAATGACTGTAAGATTACATATGAGAAATCCAGCTGGTTGATAGCTAATAAAGTGTATATAGCTGCAAGCAATGAATGAGTAGTTTGGTCTTTACAATCCTGCCTTTACAAACAACATGATCTAGTAACTCACAGTGCCTGGATTTGCTCAGCCATGGGGAGAGTTCAGGGACATCTTTTCAAAACACAGGTTTACACTGTATTTTGACAGGCACTCTAATGCATGCATGCCTATTAAAAGCACACTTCATCATATTTGCCACCTGTACATTAAAGGTATCTATATTATTTTAATAGAGTACTTTTACTACTGTATTCCCAGTAGAATTGCTGATTCAGAGAAATGCACAGAGAAAGATAAAAGCACAAGGTGTAACATTATTTTCACTATTCAGAGAACAGTTTCCCACAGTACTCTTTCGAGGGAAACAAAATATGCAGAAGGAATACTGGCAGATACGCTAGTAGTTGGCTGTGTGTGTCCAAAAAGATAGGCATTACCACGGAGCAATCAGCACACTCAGATCTAGAGCTTTTCAAAGAATGAAAAATATTTATTGCTTCTGTCAGTGTCCATGTTTTTACAGTTGCATTTCTTGTGTTAGAAAATGGTTTTCCCTTTGCACTGCTATGTGAAAAGACTTGCACCAGCCATCAGAAAATCTTGACTCTGTTGAGGGAACTGGTGGTGTCCAAAATGCTGTCAAATGCACCAAAGTAAACAAACAAATAAAACAGAGGGACATTTTCCTTCTAACCTCTTTCAATTCACATAACCTGAGGTGTGGGTAAAGACTCTAGCAAAAAGTGTGATTTCAAATTTGACAGCTCCCTCTGGCCCATAGCACATACCTCTCAATCAGAGAAATTTTGGCGCTCTCAAGAACAAAAAGAGGGGAAGGAGCATCTGGTACCGTCCTTACAGCTCACACAGCCCTTTCTCCACTGAGCTGTCATTCTTCACTTCCCAAGTGATGGGATACACCCAAGAATTTGCTACATATATTTGTACACAAATGACTCACCAATAACCAATACCAAATTACTTTGAAATACAGGCAACTCAATTTCCTCATTGTTGCATAGCAATGGGAAAAATAATAGAAGAAAAAAATAGGCCTTGCATAGCTGGGACAGTATGTATAACACTACAACCCAAATTTTAATGAACATCCAAAAAAGCAAGCAAAATAAAAGTTGCATATAAGTATCTAACATCAAGGTTTGTAAACGATCAGGTCCACTTATTTTTCCTTTGTGCCCTTGGTTTTATTTACAAGATCTCACAGATGAACCTAAAGAAAAACCATTAAGCCCTCCATGAGGGAACTAAATAATCTTTTTTTCACATTAAAAAAATTAAATATTTAAAGTGTATAAAACATAAGGCGTTTTTTTGTTATTTGTTAATGAGTGCTGGCAATATATAATATTTAACCTTTTCTATTCTTTTCATTTCTGTATCTCATTTTATTGCTGTACATATGGGCCCACGTCAGTGTTTATATTTAAATGTAATAATTTCCAATTTATACATATTATAATTATTTTATAATATTTATAAATATTTCCATATTCTATATATTTTTCCAGGAGTTACGGTTTTTGGATTGTTATCTGCAACAAGAAAGCAGAATTGGAGAAGCTTCAGAGACTTTAACTATGAGTACACACAATTTCCACACTACACAGAAAAGACCTTAACTGGTTTTATGACAGCTAGGTAGGCTGAAAATAGATTGTAGGAAGTTTGCACATGACACTTACTCTTCGTCATTAATGTACACTTTAATGTCATGGTTGCAATTTGGCATTCATGAGCCTCTTACCTCATTCAACGTACAGTGTGTTGAAAAAGTTAGGCAAAAAATGCAATTTTTTTTTTTTAGATACGTAAATACAAAAAAGAATGCTGTGAAAACCAATTTCAAATTTAGTAACATCATGTTTTCTGTACAGGGTACAAACCCCTTCATTTTTCAAAAGACGCTTCTAATTCTGGACTCATGAAATAGAAGTCAGAGAAGTGCATCTGAAAACTAAACCACTCTCAGTCTTATGTTACCAGCTGAAAACTTCAGGTGAACTTCTACTTATTTCTGTGGACACTCTGGAAAACCAGGTTACTAGCTGACACACAGACCTTTCTACGTGAAATTCTCGCACTGGTGACAGACACATTACTTTTTTAAGTCTACCTCGATAGAAGGGGTATATGGCAGCCTCTAGTGGTAAGTATGCACATTTTTAAAAAGCAATTTCCACAGTAAATTGAAATTTCAAGGCATTAACTTGTTTTGATATGTTTATTTTGGTAAAATAGAATTAGCCAAATGTTGATCAATTGCCTTTAGCAACTAACTTAGTTTTAGGGAAGTAAAGATACTGAAATACATTAGTCCAAACCCCAATAAATCCATGACATGTGCATACTGAATTTGCAGTCAGTATCTTGAACTTTGCTAATCAGCTTTATAGATTGTTTTCGTAAGATTGATCAGTAGTGATTTAATTTTTTAGCAGAAACAGGAGAACACCCCTGAAATGCCACAGCAACTTCCTAAGAGAAAAGTGTTGCTTTCATTCCTCTTCAAGGCTACCAACCTCACATGCTAGTGGCTTTGAAGTGTGCCCAGTGGCAAAGCTGTTCCTACCTCATTAGGTGTGCCTCCTTCAAGAATTCACTTTTCTCACGGTCTGTCGCACCCTTCTTCAGAGTCTGCTCAACAGAAAGCAAAAGTGCAATAGCACTTTGGTCACTACCACCACTATCACATAGCACTTAAGTAAAGGAATCAGACACAGACATGGCCTTAAATATACATTATTTTGCAGCAATAATTACAAAGAGATAGGCTCAGCGTGCAATAAATACTGCAAGGAAATGCTCAGATCTGTCAACTCCTGTTTCTGTGGTATAATGTCTGAGCCAAATCTCTGTGCCCATCCCATTCTGTTGCCAGAGAAATACACAGCTGCGATTACCTTGACTGCTACTTTGGATTCTCCACTTCCGTCCACCAGGATGTCTACTGCAGTCCCTTCATACACCTCTCCAAATGCTCCGCTTCCCAACAATTTGTGTAAGTTCAGTTTGTGCCGAGGGAAAGCTGGCAATGATTCAATCTCTGCTTGAGAAGGAAGTGTGCTACAAAACAGCAATACTAGTCATTTGTTCATACCTAAGAATGGTTGAAATGTTATTAAAATTCTTCCTCAAATGAATTTGGTACAATTTGTCTCATCAGTTACACTTAAGTGGAACTCAAGTGAAGCCTGGAAGCTATTGGTAAACACCAGGTCTTCTTCCTTCCCTGTGCACTTGTGTTTCTTGCCAACATGAGAGTGCCATGTGGGCTAGGGGAGATCCAGACCAGGGTGCACACCAGAGAGCCAACATGGCAGGGCATACTTAAGAGTAGACCTGCCCTGCAGTGCAGATGTAGCTCTTAACTCCACCTTGAGGTGTCAGGGATGAGTGCACTGATGAAAACCACTCCAGGGAAACCCTCTTAGATGTTTTTGTCCTGAAAATACATTTGCTCCAAGGACATACCTCACAGCATAACAGGCATTGGCTAGTCCCACTGTCTCAGCTGTCCACCTGAGTTGAGCTAGTTCTTTATCTTCCTTGATAAACACTACCTGTCCAGGCAAGGCCTGTTTTCTGGATTTCCATCTTTGGTGCCATACTGGAACAGAAAATCAGACCGTCAGATATATCAGTCTGAGAGCACCCTAGCGTGCGAGCAGGCTGAAAGGCTACAGATTTTTTGTTATTCTGTTCAACACGACCCCCCAGCAGCTCATCTAAGCAAGACATTTCCATATGGCCACCACCTTTTTCCTACAAAACACAGGCAACTGCTCCTTGAGCAGAGAAATCATTCAAGCATCCACTTCTGTATGTGGCAAAACCCAAGCCTGAAGAGCTGCTGCTGTATCGCAGGGAGAGGATGAGGAGTGAAGAGGGCAGGACCACCACATGTGGACATCTACATCCTTTCTTCAGGGACAAAGCTTAAGAGGAAAAAAACGGGACCCTTTAGTGAATGAATGCAGTACCCAACCTAAGAATTATAAGGTACAAGTTTTTATAAGGATACACAGGAACATCAGACTTCCTTCAGCATTTCTGCACCCTCCCTGCAGGGAACCAACAGCAAGAGGTACCTGAGGGTGGAGTGAATCAGTATCCTGTCCTTGATATTGAAAACATAACCAGACATACCTAGGGCCCCAAAGAATGA